AAGTTGCGGCAACGAGGTCCACCCACTTCCATTTTAGTAGACCATAAATTTCCATTGAATTTTGCATAGCCTTGTTTCCCAAAAGTTATTCTCATCTCAGCTGGAGAGGAACAAAGGTTCGACCTCTCTTGAACTAGCCTTATCAGCAGCCCCAGCAGGACTCAAACCCTGTTGGTGATATGCTCACGACATGTTAACCTCTACTTTACATTGTCAAGAGTGCACTTGGGTCACGGGAAATATGTCGATTTTAAGGAATTTTAACAAGGCCATGCATTTTCTCATATAACATTTTGTTGTAGCTAATTTATGTGCTATAAAAATCAACAACATTACTATTTTTGTTAATTGATCCTACATCATCATCAACGAAATAGTGTAAACATATCTCATGTCTGACTTACTGATAGTCTGAAAATATACTTGCAAACGAGAAATAAGTAATACAATCAATTGCTATAACAAATATAATTTTGCTTCATGTTCGAAACCCAGTTTTATACAAAATTTCCTCACTAACAATCCCGTCGCAGTGTGTGATATTAGAAAATGTCGTGGCTAACGTGTCGACAGTCATGGTTCGAGTCCCTTTGGGGGTGCTGATGTGACCAGTTCAGACGGTGGCTAAACTGCAATCCAGTCTTGCTGGGATGGGAACATCTTTTGGGAGGCAAAGCTATGGAAAATTTAATGGAAACGTAAGGTCCACTCAGGGCATTGTAGGAATATTTGACCACCAATCCCTTTATCATCTTAAACGAAATAGGGTGAATACCCCTCATTTATGTTGTCTGTTGGTAGTCTCGAAAATCTGCTAATGCACTAAAAAGTAAGTCTATACGTCAGGAGCAAATGTGGTTTTGGAAGGTTCTTTTAACTCAACTTTTCATTTCGAACAAAATGACATTTTTAGGGGATTGGTGAATTGACCTTATCGATAACCGAAGGGGGATTGTCTTGGAGTGAAGGTCATTGGCTTGCGTGAAGAAGTCTTAGACTCGCAATGTTTGGACTGCGATGGCTACAAACCAATACTCTTTCAAGTTCCGATGAGACCAGTTTACAAATCCTTGCCAAACGACTTAGTCTTCGGAAAAAAAATCGAGTCACATAAAAGTGATATGAGATGTATTCACCCAATTTCGTTTAAGCTGATGAAGGACTGGTAGTAGAATTTTCCCACAATGATGTGAGTAGAGCGGACTTTTCAATTAAATTTCACAAGGCTTTGCTTTCGCAAAAGTTGTTCTTATCCAGACACCAGTGGACTGCAGTTTCGACCTCGCATCGGTCTCATCAACACCCCCAGCGGGAGTCGAACCGCGACAGTGCAGAATGGGAGCTTGACACGCTAACCACTCGACCGCATTGCCACAAGTTTCCGTGGATCACGGGGCAGATGTGAATTTCAAAAAAATGTGTCATAGCACATTCTTCGGTGGGAATGTGGCCGAGTGGCTGACGTGTCAAGCTCGTACTCTGCACTGTCGCGGTTCGACTCCCGCTGGGGATGTTGATAAGACCAGGACAAGGTCGAAACTTCAGTCAACTCTGGATGAAAAAAACATTTGGGAAGACAAGGTTATGTGAAATTCAATGGAAACTTCAGCTCTACTCACATCATTGCGCAAAAATGCTACTACTAGTCCTTCACCACCTTAACCGAAGTAGGGTGAATACATCTCATATGACTGATTTAATGGTAGTCGCGAAACTCTAATCACATACGGAAAATAACTAACACAAAAGTGCGCCTGGCCTCTAAAGCCTACTTTTCAATGAAAAATATGTAAAGTAAATTATTGTTATAGCAAATGTAACTCTCTTACATCAACAACATTACCATAGAATATGATATGGGAAAATACCCAACCTTCCTTGAAATTCACACCTGCTCTGCGATCCAAGAGCACTCGTAGCAGTCTGGTATACGCTGTACCTTCAAGATTCGAGTCCCGCCAGAGGTGCTGATAGTACCAAGACGGGGTTTAAAGTGCAGTCGGCCCTGGATGAGAATACCATTTTGGTAAGCAAGACTACGGGAAATTCAATGTTGGGGTCAGTTCTACGCGTAGTATTGTGGAAAAAATGAAATATCAGTCTCCTTATTACCTGAAACGAAATAAGCCGAATACAACTCATATCTATTTGACCTTCTGGTAGTCTCGAATGCATACTTATAAGTTTGAGCATAGTTCGTCTGGCCTCCAGGTTACACGGTCTCTGTGTGAAAACAGCCACGTTTCCGTGCTCCCATGCCTATTGAGCTTCTTCTTAAAGCTACACATTGTCTCATCTCTACCATCTTTCGACTTCAAACTTATAATTTGATCATTAGACCAACTGTCTGTCACTTTGAGCAATCACTTCGGGTTTCGTGCATAAGCGAACACAAACAGGCACATACAAATACAGAGACAGACACACTCACATGCATCGAAGTCGACATGTGACCTTAAACAACAAAATCACTTAATCACTTGATCAAAGGGGCCAGATGTAGAGTATATATACCACTTTTTATGCGTTTGCCGGTAAGTTTTCTTGACTTGTTAGCTTGAATTTGGTTGTGACGATGATACCTTCGTCTGATGATATGACAGACGAAAGCTTAGCACCTTTTCACCGGAATCGAAGGAGATTGCCTCGGCAACAGTGTCAGCATGAATGTTCCAGTCAAGCCAATCGACAGCTGGTCAAGAGGAATCCATCGTCATCTTCTGGTGGAACCGACTTTCGAATCTCTTCACCCAACACTTTCACTCGAAATGGGAGTAAGCTCAACAATTATGAAACGATAGATTTCTCGAAACCCAACTTTTCTTCGCAT